AAATCGATCAACTTAGTCATTCTGTTTCTTTGATATTATCAGTACATTACGAAAAAAGAACCTAAACCAACCTAAACTAAAAATTTACATTTCCGTATTAACATACGTTACTTATATTCTTCTTATATTATTAATTTATTTTCAGAAAATCTTGTTTATTTTTCAAAGAAATATACTTGGCAACAGAGGAAATGGGACTTGATGGGACCTTTAAATGTTAATATATCTGCGTCTCTCTCGCGAAATTCGACTTCTTTGTTCACTGTCGTCTCTTGTCTTATCTACTCTTTGATTGAACTATGCTTATTTAAAAAGAACCAAGCAAAACAAAATAATTAAGTTAAAGATAACAAAAGACAGAGGGCGGTTTAATTAACGTTCAGAGCTTACGTTGTCTAAAAAGATCGAACTACTACCGTTACTAGAATGCCATCTTTTAGCCAGTGAACCAAATGCCATGTTAGAAAACTGCAAATTCCATATTTCTATTAAACGAACCAAGGAATAATTTCGTTTGCATTATTCAAATCGTCGCTTGGATACTTTTACATTTTATGGATGTGTTCTTGATATTTTGATGTTTTTTCGCATCTGAATTTATCTTACTTTATTTTTTTTTCGCTTATTAGTAAAGATAGTACCTTGAGATTTATGCAGAAATCATAACTTGGAGAGAGCAAAAAGATACTAGAAAATATTTTATTTTATCTACGTATGGAGATATAGTCCACCACTGACTCTGAGTAATTACCAATTAATCTATAGTTTCCATTAATTACTAAATAGCCTTGCGAAGGCCTAACCTAACCGCAACTTTTTTTTGCTTTAATTATTATTACTTCTCACTATCAGTAATATTCTCTTTTTAGATTATTTTTAGATTAATCCACATTATTTTCACCACTAGAGAACTATTTCTGCAGCACTAGGCACTAGCTAAACCTTTAAGTAAATTATACATTATACAACCTTAGAATATCAACTTTATATTCCTAATTCCTACTCTTCTCTTATATATGTTCTAACATTCTTTGTGTTTTACTAATCTTAACACAGATGCATGAATCTTCTTGCTAATATGCTTAACAAATAATAACTGTACACAATAGTTAATCCAAATTAATTTTAAAAAATGACATAAAATGTAATAAAAAACTTTCACTACCCAAAAGAAGCCTTATGAATAAAAACTTAAATATGTAATTGAATATACAGGATGAGTCTTGAATATGTGCAAATATTTTCAGGGCTGGTAGATCTCGATAAAAAAACATATTTTCTCTTTACCGTTTTGAAGTCCAAAATAACCCAGTTATTTTATTTTAAAAATATCCAAAAAAAATAGTGTTGCTTAAATTTTGAGAATCTTCTCCCTATGTTGCCATATTATCAAGAAATTATGTTTTTTAACTATAAACTAAAAAAAACATTCTGAAAAGTTTTTCAAAAAATTCCATATTTTTTTGGGGAAAAAACATCATAATAGTGTTTCTGTGATCGAAATATACTATATCTAAAATATTTGCACTTATTTAAGACTCACCCTGTATAGTAAATATATAATTTTACAAATGTTTTAATTTAATTTCAATAAAATACTATAGGAGTTATAAAAACAGTTTACTAATATAATCAAGGTGAAAAAACAATACATCAATATAAACAAATCTGGCAATCAATAAACATATAAAATTGGGAGTAAATACCTACGTTATTAGATTTTTTATTTAGTTTATGTTTTCTTAATGAACAAAAAAGTACATAAAAATGTCATTTTAAAAATGTATTTGATTAATTATTATATGTTTAAAATAAACTCGGAAGGAATATTTTTGACAGATCACAAATGATGTTAAAAATAAATCATTATTTGATTAATACACAAGAAATATTAAGATGATGGCTTTTGATCTTGCATCATTAAATTATGATATAATATTAAGTCAACTTTATTGCGAAAAAATAGGTAGTTCAGGAACAAACTTAAGATGCAGTTATTTAATTATTATTCTCTAAACAAATTTAAAGTCACTTCTTCAATGGATTTGATTTGAGTAAAAATATTCCTAAATATTTAACCTTTAACGAAACACTATTTATCCTTAGATTAATTACAGATAAGATACTGTATACCTGATGTTTAACGTCCGCAAGATATACATTAGGGTGTTCGTTATTTCCCAAGTTGATTTTTTTTGCTACCGCCCTCTGAAATTTTAGTTTTTGCTCTAAAAAATTATCCAACGTAAACAAGTTCTTAATTTCTAATTTATGCCGTGGCGGAGCCATGATAATTTTTCCATTTAAATAACATGGGATTTTCTGACCTTTTGCATATAATTTTTTATCTCAAAACCAAATGAACAGCTTCGACAAAGACATATTCTAATAGATTTTACGCTCTACAAAAAAGGTCTTTTTGGTTTTTTTCATAAAAACATTCCTTTAAATGTTATTTGCGGTCAAAGTTATGCACATAGTTTATAATCAAATTTAATCAATATTTTTAATCAAAATCATTCACTGCAAATTCCGATTGCACCTTTTGATTTTGACTAAAAAAGGATCTAGGCCATATTTTTTTCAATAAAACAATATTTCTTTACCAACTTTAATATGGAAAACTAATATTGCGCCATCTATAATCAATTGATCAAAACTGTAATTTAAGGTTATTGTTTCATTGCCTTTCAGTGTTCGTAAATATGTGTATCAATTAAACAAATTTCGAGTAGTTTTTATCTTAAATATTACTTGTATCGAATTAATTAAATTAATTTAATTAATTAAAAATTTAATTTAATCATATATTTTTAATCGTTTATTTTTATCCTAAATATTACTGTATCGAATTAATTAATAATTAATTGATACTTAGTTAATTAATTAATAATTAGTTAAATAGCAATTAATTGGTAATTCGTTTTAATAATTAGTTAATTAATTAATAATTGGTTAATTAATTAATAATTTTATTTAATTAATTAATAATTTAATTTAATTTATTAATAGTTTAATTTAATTAATTAATAATTTTATTTATTAATAGTTTAATTTAATTAATTAATAATTTAATTTAATTAATTTGATACAAGTAATACCTAAGATAAAAACCGCTCGAAGGTTGTCTATGTTCAGTATGCAATAACTTTGACCGCGAATAACTTTTAAAGAAATGTTTTTATAGAAAAAACTAAAGAGGTCTTTTTTGTAGAGCGTAAAATTTTGTATTAGAATATGTCTTTGTCGAAGTTGTAGATTCATTTGCTTTGGAGAGAAAAAATTAAATGCAAATAGTCAGAAAATCCCATGTTATCTAATGGGAAAAGCATCATGATTCCGGCCCGGTTTAAATTAAAAATTAAGAGCTTGTTTACGTTGAATAACTTTTTTAGAGCAAAAACTAAAATTTCAGGGGTGGCAGCAAAAAAAATCAACTTGGGAAATAACGGACACCCTAATATACTTATAAGAATATTGCTTTGAATATTGTTTGTTTATGAGTACTAAACGTACTGGCATATACGCTGGATCGAGATAGCGCTAGAACAGCATATCAACGTTCACCTGTGATACTCAAAATGAAGCTTTCTTTGAATAAAGTGATTTTTTTCCCGGCACAAGCTTTGTTTATTACGCGGACAAAAGTTCTAATGCTCCCGTGGTAGCGTGCTGTATCTTATTATTATTTAGTCTAAGGTTTTACCACGTTATTTTTTTTAATTATTTTGTATTTTTTGGAATTATACAGGATGTTCCATCGACTACGTCATTTTATCTATATCAAAACCTGCAACCTGAAAGAAATTATACTGTTTCGGTTCAAATGAGGAACAGTTATGGTTCTGGGCCTCCAGCAACTGTACATGTATCAACTCCCAAAGTAAAACGAGGTAATGAATATTTAAAAGTTTAATATATTTTGTTCTAGTGGGCGAATTTTGATGAATTTTTAGCCAAGCTAAATTATTTGACTTTTTAGTATCTCTTTCTAAATAAAAAATGAAAGTTCCCATCTATCAGATATACGAGGGACAACAAAATGTTGATATTTTAGCGAAAGTTTGAAGCATCCTGTGGAATATGCAGTATCAGCAAGGAATTTAAAAATAATTGTATCATCTAGGTACATCCTTTCTCGATAGTTTGTTTTTTCGTTGATCTCAGTTACTTTAGTTTTGGTGGAGATATTCGCTTTTGAAGAATACACTAACATTTTTTTGTAATTTATATATTGAAACAATACCTTTGGTTTCGGTCCTAGTCAACAGACCGAGTAAGTTGTAATCCCGAAGCAGGCCTTCTTGACATAAGATTTGCTTCGTTTAATCTTCTGACGGTGATTGTATTTCTTGTAACAGCGTTTTTAAACATCTGACATGGCTACTATAAATAGTAAATTTTACTAACACAAATATGTATTTTGTATATGCATTCCTCATTTTTTAACACCCTGTTTAAAAATGTTTACATAGTTGCAGGAAATCCAGAGCCTGTATTAATTTTCGGTACACAATTTGCAATTTTCGAATTGGAAAAGCTGTTGGGTGATGGTATACATCTGTTTCATTCGGAATTATCAATTGAAGGTAAGTTAAAAACGCATTGCTGAATCTAATCTGAGTGAAAATAACAGTATGATTTCAAATTAAACATTGTCATCACCAATAGGTATAGGAATCCATATTAGCAAACAGTTGCTTTTCATATCAGATGTCAGTGGTACTGTTTGGTGCTTACCCATTGAACAGGAGACCAAGAACAAAACCAAGATCCTTACTTCCGACCAGATCGATTTCTTCCCTTTGGACTTATCAGTCGATTGGCTCAACGATCAGCTCTATATTTTGGGTGAAGTCGCTCCAAGGAAAAGTCCTCCGAGATATATAATTAAAAGGTAATAATCTCTATACCGGGTGCATCTCAAAAGTGGCTAACCGCTATAACTTTTTTATTTTTTCAGATGAAAAAAACGAGATTTGGTATGTTAGTATATGACATAAATTAGGATTAATTGACGTATTCAATTATTTTTGGTCACTTCCTGTTTTACCGGAAATGACTACAAGTTTTGATTTTTAAATGGCACTCTTGATATATTTCTACTTTATTCAATAGAAAATGACACCCTGAATAGAATGACATATCATATGTCAACTTTTGACATTTTCCGCATATGGTTTATTTGAAATTGTAACATGCGGTTCATAACGACACTTTTACTCGAAATATACCAAGTGTGCGGTACCAAATTATTCGTAAAAAAATGCTTTTACCAAATATGCTAATGAGCCACCCTTATTTCATTTGAAAAAATTGAGATATGATTAGAAATACGATTTGGGCATCTTTTAACCGGCCAGGACACTTTGAATAAGAAGGAGCATATCAAAAATCTTAGGTCCACCGTGATGGGCCTCAAATATGGGCGACTTAAATTCCGGTTTATCAGTGCCGTTCTAATTTTATTTAAAAAATGTAAAACTATGATGTAGGGTAGGCGTGGGGTAGACTCAATAATTTTTTATTTATTTTACGTTGTGAATAAATGTTGGTAGTTATTAAAATTGTTATAAAAATATAAAATTCTAATAAAAATAGATAAGTTATAATAATTATTTATAACCATAAACATCCGATACGCTACTGAAGCAGGTAAGTCAAATTGACGTATCTAAATTCTTTGACATGTAATCTTTGACAAGTAGTAAATAAAAACAAAAATTCAAGAAAAAATATATAATTAGTTATTTTAAGTGAATTTCATAAATGATCGGTTTACTACACGTATGTGTGTATATTATATAGTCACTTACTAGCGAAAAGTTGTTCCATTATTTCACTCGATTTTTGCCGAGATCTACCGCACGCTACACAACCAACTATTTTAGAGTTTTTTTCGATAAATCGCGAATAATTTCGATAGTGTCACTGTTAATTTTAGTTCTGCCACAATTTCCATCTAGATTTACTACCTTTATACTATATATACCTATCAGTAGTAGAATAAATAATAACTAACATCAAATAAGCTCCGTAAACACTGGCAAATCCACAAAATTTCAAATCAAATTCAAAGGTGTCAAATGAATCGTCAAACAGAACTGTCAAGGATCCCCACCCTAGAGACCTTTTTCCGCCCACCATGCATGAATACATGGATAGCATTATGCTCCTTCCTTAGTCTTCTTATTCAAAGGCCAGGACAAGATACGGAAAACAATAAACGATCAAATATAGTTTTCCCAGGCTTCTTGATTAAAAATTGGCAACAAGCCATGGCACTCTAGAAATTTAAATACGATTTTTCTTTGAACAAAAATGTCAAAAGTTGACATATGATAATATCTCATTCTACTCAGGGTGTCATTTTTTTTACTCAGGGTGTTTTTTAGAAATATACCGAGGGTGCCATTTAAAAATCAAAAGTTATAGTCATTTCGGATGAAACAGGAAGTGACCAAAAACAATTGAATACGACAATCAATCCTAATTTATGTCATATAACAACATACCAAATCTCGTTTTTTTTGCCTACTTTTTATATATTTTCTTTTAATCAAAATATTTTAGGATTTAAAAATAAATTAATTATAAATATATAAAATTTATTATTTACATCAACAAAACTCACCTTCTTAACAGCACTTAAGGGACATAATGGGCCATTACTACCGCTTTCACTTTCAAAATATTCTTATAAAATTTTCCAAAAATTTTTTCAAAAATTTTCGAATTTTCAAATTTTTTTTTTCGCGAAAAAAACTTCATAGGCGTGTTTCTGGGGTTGAACTATACCACCAGTTAAAATACTTGCACTTATTTCTGGGACACCCTGTATTATCCGTTAAATGGAGAGATCTTATATTAACAAAATTTTCTTCTAGGTGTAATCTAGATGGTACTGGTCTAACAGTCGCCTTGGCAGGACTAACCACCAGACCAAACAACATGGAAATAGACCCGTGCAACGGTTACTTGTTATGGTCGATCCGGGAATCCCCTGCAGCGGGGATATACAAGTTGGACATTTCTGATATTAGCAACGGCATCAAGCACGAAATCAAGCCCGAGAAAATATTAAACGGTTCGCACTTGGGAGCTTTCGTGGTTGATTATATGAATTTTCTGGTTCTTGTATCGAACCAGAAATTGAACACGATATTCTCCGTTACTTTGGATGGGTAAGTAAACACTTTTTTATTCTTCTTTTATTTTTTTACCTGTGTTGCTGTATTATCAAGATCTTATGTTTTTTAACTCAAAACTAAAAAAGTTTTTTTTATTTTTTTTTATTTCGCGAAAAAATACTCATATGTTTTTCGAGGTTTGTTCATTGGCTTCAAAAATAAAACCAGCCCCAAAAATATTTACAGTATTTGAGACTCGATCGACTTTTATAAAAACTACGCCTTTATACAGGGTGGTCCGATTGTATTCGGAAAACTTCGGCAGCACTTCTGCAGATAACAATAAGTAAATTAATTTGTAAAATATTCTTTTAAGATGCTTAGTTTTCGAGATAGAGGGTGTAGAAGTTTTAATTTATATTCGATTTTTTCCAAATAATTTCTGAAGTAACGTCAATATTTGGATGAAAAATTGGTGTCTGGGGTTTTTTGACATTCAAAATTTGATTTTGGTGTCAACATGACTCCTGTTTGAAGTGGGCGCCACCTACATATGTTTTTAAACTGTTTTGAAGAGCAATAACTTTTCGTTCATACCTGTTATAAAACTACTGAGTGAAAAATATACATTTTTTTTACATATATTTTTTTGCGTACAAAATGTTTCTTGGTAAAATTCGCTATGACCAATCGTTCTCAAGATATTTAAATGGAAATAGTTCATGCATTATTGAACAAAAATAAACATGTTTTTTTTTTTTTTTTTTTTTTTTTTTTTAAAAATAATAATTTGGAAAAATTTTTATTTTTTCAATTAATCATGAAATTGTTTCTACGAAAAATGATGATAGAACAGTTTTTTGTTTCAATTTTTTTGGGCACAAAAAACATTTCAAATTTATCTAAAAGTCAAAAAAATTCCCAGACACCAATTTTCATCCAATATTGATGTCAACTCATAATTATTTAGAAAAAAATCGAAATAAATATAAAACTTGTATACCCTGTACTCTCCGAAACTAAGCATGTTTAAGAGCACAACATTTATTATAGTTAAGGGTTGGAACCTTTGGTGTTATACAGCAAAATAGAACACTAAATCACCACAATTACACCAAACAATTTTACTTTTACAACTGGACGCGCGTTTCGCTAACCATGTAGCAATCATCAGCAGATGATTAATAAACTAAAATACAATCTACAATTGGAGCGTTTATATACTCGCTCAGTGGGCACAGAGTGGGCGTGGCAAGATCTAGCCAACCGAGTCAGAACCCACCGAGCGTAACAGTTAGATTTCCGCCACTAGAGTAGTAGGAAAAACAGCAAAGATATCATCCACATACCTAAACCATACTCTTGGAAAAAACTGAAACTGATTCTTAGCCTCCACTTCAAACCTGCTCATGAATAAATTAGCCAAAAATGGAGACAATGGATTACCATTGCTGTACCTTCCCGCTGTTCAAAAAAGTTGTTATAATAAATTGAAAACAATTTTGTTTCAAACATAACGATGTAAGCTCAATATATTCAATCACAGTTTTGTTGTCGAGACCATTTGCGTTCAGTAATTCCTTCAAGTAGCCTAAAGTATGTGGAATTGAAACACTTGGGAACAACGAAGATACATCAAAGGAGACCAAAATTTCACTTCAATGCAATGTAATATCTTTAATTTTGTTAATGAATTTAATATTATTTTTAACTGAGAAATGAACGGTTCATGGTTAGGTAAATTTTCGAACTTCCTTGATAACCATTTTCACCAAATATAAGTCGGAGAACTAACAGCCGAAACAATTTGGGGCATAGACTTTAGTCCCGGTTTAATGCAATTTTTGGCAACGCATACAATTTGGGTAATGAGGGATTGGATACTTGCAAATTTTTCTCTTTAAGAACAAATCAATAAGGTTGTGTTACATTCTTTTAAAGTTTTTTAACATCTGTTGTCATCTTAGACAAAGGATTCTTTTTTCAATTTTGTGTAAGGACCATTTATCGATTAATTTCTGTAAACCTTATCATAATGTCCTTTTTTTAATATCAACAACCTTATTTCCCTTATCAGCTTTTAGTTAGAAACAATCTTTGTTACGCAAACTCTTGACAATATTGTGCTCCTTGTTAGATTTTAATGATTTACTTGAAACGATATTTTTTGATAACTGATATCTATACAACTCTTTTGTAATACTTATTAGCCTCGGGTAAGTGGTGAATAGCAGTTTCAACACCCACGACGATTTCCTCCAAAGCGCTACTAGAGTTGGGCAATGCAAACTTTAAACCTTGTTTAATAAACCTGACAATTTACATACATTTATAAGAACTTTTTTAATTTATTTTATCTGCAGAATATGCTGCTTAAGTTTCCGGAATACAGTTCGGGACCACCCTGTATAATTAAAACAGATGTTAAGACTGAAAATTTTATGGCACATAACACTGAAGCAAAAAAAATTAATACAGCATTCTATTTTGAAACACTCTTATCCCTGAAAATATTTTTAAAATGGAAATCTCAAATAGGAAAACTGATATTCAGCTTTTTCGGAACACTGGGTCGTCCTCTATATCATTCATTATTGCCTATTGAGGATTTATTAAGAAATTAAATAAATTTATCATTTTTAGAAAAATCGTAACCAACATTCGCAAGAATGTCATAGTACCAAAAATGAAACACGTCATCTCCCTTGCTACGGTCAACGAAAGATTCTACTGGACAGATGGAAAGTCAGTCTACTACGAAGAGTACCATCCAGGTAGGCAGCTCTATTTTAACAACCAGATGTCACATTTGGGCAAAACGCAGTACAGAGAAATATTTTATTAATTTGTGGCTAGCACCCAGCCCTGGCCCATACCCAGGAACCCTCCCATAAATCTGCAGGCTGTATTTGGTACGACCATGGCAAAAACGAAATGGAGTCCGCCGCATTTGCTGGGACTACAAGGCAAGTTATTTCTAAATACAGTTAAACCTTTTGGTTTAAATGTGCCCAAATAAATAAACAAAATATTTTTTTTTTTTAATAAATACTTTTTTAAAGTCAAATTTCAACCACTGAGGACAACATCCATTCAAAAGATATATATTTCCAATCATTCCGTTAAACTTACTTAGAGGACTGATTATCCACTATTATTTACTTACTTGTTACAGGAAAAGCAGCTTGGCAAAACTGGTCCTACGAAATTTCAATTCAGAATTTAATAAACGGTTCTATATCAACTTACACCACAAATTCCACGTCATTTAGTTTAAACGATCTTACGGAAAATACTGAGTATCTTCTTAGAGTGCTGGCCTATACTAAATATGGCAAGAGTCCATGGTCTTCAGAGTTCAGAGGTAGCACTTTGGAGAAGGACAGGAATCCTGTATTTTTGTGGTCTGGCATAGAAGGTCTATTCAAATCAGATTCTACTATAGAGAATGTGGAAACTTTAATACACAAGAGTGGAATGGGAAATATTGCTTTCACTGGAGTCTCGTGGTATCAAGACCAACTTTACATGGTAAGCACATATTTTCAATCACATATATTATTATATTTGTTTCTGGGATCGAAATATGGTTAGGTTAGATTAGGTTGCTGGTGTTTGGGATTATGTTTGATCCCTCGGTCGTAGGCCTTGGGCTCATTGCGATACCCCTGTATTATTGTACCAAACCTTTCTCTCATTCTTTCTTTGCGTTAAAGCATTTCCAGCTGTTTGCAAAGTTCCTAATGTCACTGATGTTGGCTTCTGCTGCTTCCTCTAGTCCTTCCAAAAAACATTGCCCTAACTTTTAAAAGCGTCGGTATTCCAGTGCCGGACAGTGACACAGTAGATGCTCTATGGTTTATTCTTCCTCTCCGCATTATCTGCAGTAGTCGTCATTGGAAATCTTCCATCTCACTAGGTTTACTCCCGTGGAGGAGTTTCCAGTGATGACATCTACAGTTATGCGTACTAGGTTCTTTTTGTACTCTAGTAGTCGTTTTGTCTTTTTACTATCTACCTTACTTATACCTTATCTACCTCTATCTTTACATATCTACCATTGGCCACAATCTTCGAGCTGTAGCGTAGTTCTCACGGTGCGGCGTTGAGAGTCACAGTCCCTTGTTGCTTAGCCTTGATGGAAGTTTCTATAGCTTCCTTCAGTGTGTTGATCGTCACAAGTGGTGGATCACCTGCCACGGCCTCTCCCCTGGCCCCTCCTTTAGCGAGGTTGCCCACCACATTGCTGTGGCTCCCAGCACAGATTGGCCCCGCCTTGACGCAGCCAGGACAGTGCTTTTCGACAGTCCATCACAGTTTTGGATCTCGCTGATAGCATGGTGATGCTTCTTCGCGCCAACGATATTCCCTATTGGTTTATCAGCGATTTTCTTTCGTATACAACTGGCCGCTTCCTTTAGAGCGTACACTTCTGCTTGTAGAGCATACAGCCATCCGAAATACGGGTCGAAATATACTACCCTAAAATATTTCCACTTATTTAAGACTCGCCCTGTAATAATTATGCACTTTTAAACAGGTTAGTAATAATAGCCACGTGGTATGGTACAACTTGACCTCCCATAAATATGGTAGACTAGCCGACATGGATTCTGTTGGTAGCATCGCAGTAGACTGGATTGGGAAAAAACTGTATTGGTCAAATTTGAAACAACAACTGGTAAGCAAGATAAATTTTCAAATTATCTACTAATCTACTTATAGAGAATATTATTACCTAAGCTTGTAATAAAATGAATGCATTTTTCTTCCAAATGAAAACGCGCTCTAAATAAAATTTAAATTATGTTATACTGTACTATTTTTAAGATTATTCGCAGTGATTTAAATGGTAGCCAGCAAGAACCTCTATCAATATTAACTCTAGCCAAAGAAATAGTCATAGATTCAGTAAAGGCTTACTTGTATTGGTCTAGGGAGTATGTTGTCGAATGTGCTCATCTAAATGGAGAAGACAAAATGGAGTATGATCATCTAGAACCGTTTTCTGGTAGACAAGGTAAGACCCATACCAATATGTTGCTGAAAATTAATTATCATATTTTTATTATCTTCTTTTTTTATTATTATTTTATTTTATTATTTTGTTTTTATATGATTTCTTCAGAAATTAAAGTTATGGGACTGACACTGGACATGGACAAAAAACTAGTATACTGGGTTGTAAGAGGTTCGGATGGTTCGCACTTATTTGAGGCTCCCATGGCTGGATATTATGATGGAGAAGATATAACAAAACGAAAAGTAGCTCTCTTGCAGCGAGGTAACATGCAGGGACCTTTCTCCTACTTCAATAACCGTTTGCTATGGCTACAAGATGAGAAAAATGCAGTGGTGAGCGATTTAGTAGGGAAGAATATAGCTGTTATAAGTGGAAAATTAATATGGGGTTTGAATTTGGTGTACGTTGTTGATGAGTCACTTCATCCTTGGCCAAGTAAGTACCATTAAGGTCTACTAAAAAACTGATTTGTGATTAGTTTCAGTTTCTATTGAATTTTAATATGTCGAGTTAAAATAATTTAATTATTAACCAGAAGCTTGCAGTCAGCATAAAAAAATAACCCATATTGTGTGGCATTTTAATACCAAGAAATGATTTTGTTTTATTTGAAACAATTACTGAAGCACAAACCTATTCAACTCCTAATAAGATCTTTGATAAAAATAGACTACCTATTGATTTGGATCATTTTTGACGTTTAGTATTTCACATTGTCAAGATCCATCTTTTCTGCAGTTTTTTTTTCGATGGGGAGGGAAAGAATCTTCCATAAGACACCCATTGCTGGGTAGTGCCGGATTCCTACCGGCTAAAAAAACCCTCCTCGTTCAAGTAAGCACACCACGCCGGAACCGCTTACGCATTACTTCGACGTGGGGGGCTGCCTACGCCATGTGGCGTTGTTCCTCTTCTTTTTTACTGAGTATATATGTAACACATTTGTTTTACCAATTTCCCATAATAATTCACCTCCCTCAAGGCTTCTCATCAAGTTCGTTTCGGTGAAATCCAGTCCACTCTCCTTCTTAAAATGATCTCTCTCATCCTTCAATCTGGGATAATAGAATACATGTTCAGCGTCGTCTATTTCACCACAAAATAAACATGATTCAGGGCTTGCCCGCCGCATCTTGTAGAGCTGTTCAATGTCGTCTATTTCACCACAAAATAAACATGATTCAGAGCTTGCCCGCCGCATCTTGTAGAGGTATTTTCGGAAGCACCCGTGTCCAGACAGCATTTGTGTCAGGTGGTATCCCACTTCACCATATGGTCTGTCAATCCATTTTTCGATGTTGGGTAACAGTCTCCAGGTCCATCTTCCGTAGATACTTTCCTTTATTCCACTGATCCTGCCATTTCTCCATCACAGTTTTCCTGGCTATTTGTTTCAGCTCTCCCTTGTATCTATCCGCTCGTTCATGAGCTAATAAGTGGATAGGAGGAATGCCCGCAATGACACCAACTGCCTCAGTAGATACAGTTATGTAAGCGCTACAAACTCTAATACATAATTTGCGCTGCAGAGCTGTTATCTTTCGCTTAGTTTTTATTTTGTCGATTGCCTTATACACAGATCACGTAAACCCTTATACCATACCGGAGCTGCATATAACAATTGTGAATGTATTACGCTTACAAGAATTCTACGCTTTGATGACCTAGGGCCCCCTATGTTCGGCATTAGTTTTGATAATGCAGCTAGAGTTTTTTCCACTTTAGTGATTGTTTGGGTAACATGTCCACAGAATATTGTTTTACTATCTAACCAGACTCCGAGGTATTTTACAGCATTCTTAATGATCAATGTTCCCTCAACATCGAAAAGAATTGGTGCCAATTTTCGTTTGGTGGTTAGAATTACCGCCTCAGTCTTTTGTGGTGCTAGCTGTAAATCCTTCTGTGCCATCCATTTAGATCTTTTCTGCAGTTTATTTAAAAAAATTACAGCATGTTTGGCCTAGCCATCCTTGGTGAAACTAGGCTTGAGTAGGATCATACAGGTTATTGATTATATTATTATTTTACTAAATAGAAGTCCATCTCTCAATTTTAATACTTTATATTTATTAAAAAATAATAATTACTGAAACATGAGACTACTTAATACTAGGCGAGATGACTATGTTGTAATGTTGGTTGATGACTGGTTCACTCCATTACAGAATAACCAAAGATCTCTTACAATTATTACAAAGTCAATATACAAATTTATTAATTTTTTTGTTTTTTATTTTTTACTCGTAACATTTCACTGAGTCTGACAATTTTCCTGAGTAATTTTTTCTCTGCAAAATTCACCATTTCTTGAAAAACAAATATTAAAAAAAAAAAAAAAAAAAAAAAAAAAAAAGAAAATTTTTATTGTAAGACTTCTGATTTTTACATATGATATATCATATCATAGGCATATACATATCTAAATATTAAAGTTAACTAGAAAGCAACTGTTAATAACTGCGACTTAGACGAATTTATTTCTACTTATTTGGAGTATGATAGGTTTGGAAACAGTCCTTAAGGTGGAGTCCCACGTTGCATTTAGAGCAGATAAACTTCGCACATTTTTTACAATACGCGCACTGTCTTTGTGTAACATTAGAGGCAACAAGGTGGTCCATTTTATCAAATCTTATTTCTGTGTGTACATTCCGGCTGCATTTTGGTTTTGGTCCAACAAGGTGCTCAGGTGACGTCAAAATTGATAAAACTACTCTTCGGGTAAACTCTAATAAACTAGTTTTCGTGTAGGCATGGCGGTAGAGAATCCACATATTTACCAAGGCTCCATTGATACGGAATCTTTGATCGTATTCTGATACGATAAAGACCCCTTAGTTTGTCAAATAAGTCAACTCCACCCATTCCTTGGTTATACAAATTGACAAGACTGGGTTGAACCACTTGGACAAATGTTCTTTCATTTTTTGACCAACGTCTACACTGGCTTTTCGAGAAGCAAATCTGGTCACTGTCTACGTTGGTTCCGATAGTAACCTGACTTATCATGTCATCTTATCAAACTCGTGGATTTATCAGCTTCTTGCAGGACATGGTTACTTCCACGTGACTCTTTTTTGAGATCTTTGAATGGAGCCTTATCTACTCGATCGGCCCTCATTGTGCCAATACAAAATATTTGCTCTGCTTTCAGAGTCTCCAAAAGTGACAGTGAGTTAAAGAAGTTATCTATGAAGAGTGTGCTGCCGGGAGGTAAATACTGCCGACATACATTTTCTGTTACCGACGATCCCAAGGATTTGCCTTCCTTTTTGTCACCAGCACCACAGTATGGATCAAATTTGAGCAAATAACCTTCTGATGTAGAGAGGCACCAAATTTGAATCCATACCTAATTGGTTTCCCTCGTATGAACTGTTTCATATCGTGGCGACCATAATAGGGCTCCATCGCTTCATCTAAGGAAAAAATTTCTCCGAGAGGTGCTGCTAGCAATTGAGAGACTTCATTTACTCTGTCGATGAGGGGTTGGATCTTGTAAACCTTGTTATTAGGGTCAATCTTGGTGTTGTCGTTGACGTGTAGGTAACGGTGTATCAATTCAAAACGATCTCTAGATATACTATTGCTCACTAAATGATTGTATGTATCAGACTTTGCTTCCCAGTACATTCTTCTGGCAGGTAACTTATTGTACCCAGATAAAATCAAGATTCCAAGGTAAATGTACATTTCTCTAGTGGATACAGCGAAGTTATGGTTACCTTTAAAAATGGCGTATTTCATAGTTTCATCACAAATAAATTGTACGAATTCTTCTGGAAAAAACAGTTTGAATAAATCTATTGGTGCTAGGCCATCGTTTTTGATTTTATTTGCAACATCTGGTAAAGGAGATTTGGAAATTTTGCTTTCTGAATGGGATTCAGTAATTTTGTTTGCCACTTTCTAACTTTCTTTCCTTTTATAGACCTGTTTTGATCGTTCGTGCTGCTAGGTGTTTCGTCTGTAGCTTCTTTTCGGATCTTTTTAGTCAAAATTGAAAGAGGTATATCATCTTCATCAGTTTCTTCATCACTGACAGCCGTATTTTGGGAGCCTGGATTTATTTCAGTTTTCTCACGGGATTTTTCTTTCACTGCAAAAACTTCAACTGGTTGTTTCAAAATCCCCTTTCCTAAATCATGTAGTTGAAATGGTTCCTCTTCATCGCTTTGGGCATCGTCTTTGTTGCTATCTTGGCCATCATCTGGAGGTAATAATACGAAATCAAGTCGATCACATTCTTGCAGAGTTTCATAATTCTCATCATCATCACTGATAATATCAAGAAAATTGACAAGCCCCGGCGTCTTGTGTTCTCAGATTAATTCCACTTCTTTCTGAAAACAAAATTTATACATTACTTCCTATGATGTGATATTTCATATGTTGAAAAGATACTTCAATAAATGTAAAACTAACGAAAAAACTGGTTTTAATTAGTTTTGTTGGAATAAACTAATGTACTGGCTATTAAGTTTTCATAACAATTTGAGAAAAAAGTACTATTATAGAAAAAAATAAAATATAACCTCACCTTAGCGGCATGTCTGCATAAAAAAAAAGTTTCCCGAGATATCAACTGCAATTCTACGTACCCTTTCGAATATTTGGAAAATTCACTGACACTTACACTTAGATATACTCACAATCGACGTATAAGACAAACTAAACCACACTTTTCACAAACGGCTGGACGTGTCACGACTCGCAGAGATTTGATGTTTTGGGTATGAAATATCATATCATAGGCATTACTGGGTTAAAATAACAAACTAGGAAGAATAATCCAATTCAAATTCCAACCTTGAAAAGTCTAGGTATATATTTTAATAACTGTTATAACTACAACACGGAACAACAAAGTATTGCATATGCAGTTTTTATGAACCTAGTCAAACTTACACTTGATAAAACTGGACGCATTGATTAGGCTCATCTTTCTATAAGTTATTCATTATCTCACAGACCAACGCAACGGCCAATCATTTCTGCATTTTTTATAGTTTTTTTTTAAATAATTAACGAGTTAACATGCTAGTCTTATTTGAACTAGTTGACAGTTAAGAGGCCTAGTTAACATCCAGTCTTATTTGAATTAATTGCTTAGACTTCTACTTCTTTGATTGTTTGACTATGCTACAGAAGACGAGTACATCTATGAGTTTCGATGCTCTAAGTCGATTTAATAATGTCGGTGTTTTATTTGAAATAATTACTAAAATATTTATCAATCTATTATCCATCCTTAATACGACTAAGCTCTTTTACAATAAAGATATATCTAGATGTGGGTTTTATTACTTCATAGAAAAACAGAAAATCTCTTATGTTTGTGTTAGTTCTATAATATACTTTAAACTATTTTATCTAAACCTAGTCAAAGACGTTTGGTATTTATCAACTCTGAGTAGGATTAGGCGCAATAACTAGGCTCAGAATTTGGATGATTATTTTATTGTTGTACTAAGCAATATTTTCTATTGTTTTACTTTGATGTCATAAATTCTGTTAGATATTTTTTGTAATGTTAATTAATAATAATAGCGGTAATTTATTAAATATTAATAAATAATAATAGTGGTAATATCAATGATAATATTATAGACTTGTATTTCGATATTTGTTTCATTACTTTACGGATCTTACAGCTCAAAATCACCATAAATCAAACTTAATCAGAACTTTGATAAAACTAGGCGCAATGACTAGGCTCGTATTTTGACAAGAGTTTGACTGTTTTATTTTGTGTGAAGACAATAGAGGCGCGTAGGTTACTGACTAGGTTCATAAAGCTTGTGTTGTTACATACTTTAAGTGTACTCCTAAAATAAGAAACAAATTCATATGATCCATTATAAATTATATTTTCAGGCAACGTAACTGCTGGAAACATTAATGTAATACCAAAAGAAATAGATACCGGTTCTGTAAAAGTCAGTGGTTCTTCAGATTCCTTCAACATTACTTGGAGCCCAATAAAAAATGTGAATTATGGCGTAGTTTTTTACGAAATCCAGATTGACGGTTTGCCTAGAAACAACTCCACTGTAAGCTAGAAATATTTACAAAATCGAACATGAAGATAAAAATAGATTTCTTTTAGATTATTACTACAGAGCCTACCATTCGATATTGGAGACATATTCCGCCATTCACTCTGATCAATGTTAACATAAGAGCGTTCACTTATTGGGCTACTTCGCCTCAAATTAGAGCAGAAATATATTCACCACCGTCAACGCCATCTGCACCCATCAATACTCGAAGTTATGTGGTTCACAAGCACGGTCCATTTGACTTATATTACAGCAGTGTTTCGGTGATATTTAGATGGGACCCACCTCTGTTTCCAAATGGAGTGCTTCAAGGGTATTATGTGAGGTATGTAATTGTCCTAGTTTCCCACCCCAAAAATAAATACAAGGAAAAATAACTAAACACAAGTTAAGCCAATAAATATTTAAGAAGTCCTTTATATTTACATAATATGTCCATATACCGGGTGTCCCAATATTCCTTGGACATAGAACTACTGCGTATTTTTGGAATCAAAATAAGTTCCTTTGACATAATTTACCTCTTTGTTTGTCCATTAGAGGGCATCAAATTTAAAGATATTTTTAAGAACCGATATTCCGATTTGAATGAAATTTGGGATGCTTATATTTTGCCAAGTGTTTTAACATTTGACGTTCACAAAAATCAAGAAAAAGTACGGGAAGGGTGAAAACTACCCCCACCCCTATATAAACTTTAGTAGATATACACTACACAAAACAATTAACGCATATTTGAATAAAAGTAATTATTACACATTTCTAAATAAAGCATGCATTTTTCGGCCCTTCTCTTGTGAGTTTTTTAAAGATAATTAGGGTACGCACTGACATGTAATTTTTAGTCGGCCGACTATTTAGTTGCAAAAGTAAAAACAATCAATTCTTATGGAGCCGATTGGCCCAATATTTGCATTTCGTAGTCCTACGCTATGCGCTGACAGGCAATTTTTAATCGGCCGACTATTTAGTTGCTAATTTGTAACCAATATATCTTTATGGAGCCGCGCTGACATGCAATCAACTAGTCGGTCGATCGGCTCCATAAGTATGTATTGTTTTCACTTTTGCAACTAAATAGTCGACCAACTAATTATTACAAACTATTTATAACCGTAAGTCAGGGAATTCAAAGTGTCTTGTTTTTCAAATAATATTTTTTTTAGAAAATATGCGATAATTGTTTTGAGTAGTTTATTTTCCCTCTGCACCGACGCGACGACCGATTTTTTTTTTAAATGGTTCTTCTATTATTTACTACATTTTTTGTCTCTTCTAAAACACACCACTGCGCATCCTTTTTGAGAAAAAAAATTAGAGATTAGAAATTAGAAAAAATTATTAAATTAAAAATTAGAAAAAAATAGAAAATTTTTTGCTTAGAGTTCAGCCCTTTATTCATTTTTGCAATTAACATGGGTGATTTATTTTTCACCTCCGAGAAGGGGTGGCACTCACCCCCCGGGGGAAAGCGCACATCGCTACTATATAGCTTATTTTGTTTCTTACATATACACAACCAAACTTATAAGGAATCATCTATTATTTTTCATAATAATCATATTTTGAGACGTATGAAAATTTTGTGTTTATGAATAAAACTCAGTCCGTACCAATGACTTATAATGAAAAATAATCCATATAGCAATAAAAAAAAATTAATCAGTTCCCAAAATAAACAAAATGGTATTTTTTGGTTTCTGAAACGAAATTAAGACTTACATTTTTAATGGCCAAAAAGCAAAAACAAAAAGAAAATTGATAACTTTAATATTCCTTGTTGCCACCTCTAGGCCTTATGCAAGCTTCTATTCGCGCTGGCATGTTTCTTATTAAATTATCAACGTTGTCTTTTGGGGTATGTTTTCCCATTCTGCTAATGCTGCATCAATAAGCTGTGCAAGATTTCCTGGATTGTTTTGACGAGCTCTAACCCTTCTTTTGAGCTAGTTCCACAAGTGTTCGATAGGGTTTAGGTCTGGTGAACATGCAAGCCAGTCCAAAACTATGAAGCCTTCCGTTTCAAGATATTCTCTAGTCACTCTGCTGGTATGGGGAGGTGCACTATTGTACAAGAAGTTAAAATTATAACCAATTGCAGCTCTCCAAAGACTAACGATTGGGTCGAGCACCAAGTCAACATATCTCCGACCCCTTAAAGTTTGTTGAAGTGGTAAAAATGGAGTTTTTGCTCCCAGTATAATACCTCCCCAGAACATTATAGTTCCTCCTTTGTATCTTGGTACAGATTTGACAGCCTGAAGTCGCGCTCGTCTTTTTGGAGCTCTGAGAACCCGAATTCGATGGTTATCTGATCTTAGGCCAATTCTGGTCTCATCCGAAAAAAAAACATGAAGCCTTTTTGTTAAGGTTTCAACTAAAACGTTCACACCTGTAGCTGCCAGAAGTTGTCTTTGTAGCTCTGGATGAGAAACATTGGGATTTATTCTAACAATTTGGCCCATAAGGCAGTCTTGTTGTTCAGTTGTGACTCTTTGACGACTTTGTCTGGTCCTATCCTTGTGTGTTCCTAATTACAAGTACCTGGCATATGTTTTCGATACAACACCCTGGGTAACGCCTACTATATCTGCTACGTCTCTTTGGAGCATTCCTTGTTCAGTGAGAGCATTAATTCTTCCCCTCTGTACATCTGTTAATCCAACATAAGGATTTTTTTTATTTTTTTGGATCGAATCAAAATTACCGGACAATCGTGATTTTACTACTGAACACAAAATTCAAAAGAAAATAAATCGCAGCAGTCGTTTATTCTTTATTATCATGTTTATTTACAACAAAACGCCTTATCTTAAAGTCGAATACCAATTTTTATACTTACAAGAAATTTAGTCAGAAATAAAGAGTGATTCCATATAAGTTTGGTTGTGTGTATATCTCTATTCAATGTTAAAATTTCACGTCAATCGGTACGGGTGTCAAGAATTCAGAGGTAATACCCTATTTTTATCCTTGCTTACTGGCCTAACTGTGTTATTTGGCCAAAGACGCGATATAATTCTTTTTTCAAATCATTGGCTCAGTAAACAGACTTTTATATAAATCTTATGCTGTTTTTTAGTTGTTGGTACATCGGCGAGGATACTCGGATAGATCAATGTGATGATGTTAAAACACCACCAAACCAAACAGAATATAAAGCGAAAGATCTAATATACAACAAAGTATACTTTTTTCAGGTAAGTGGTTATCATAAACAAACAAATTATGTTTCATGGTAAAATAAATCTCTAACATTTCATAAATAATTATATACAAACTATAGGAAAAATTGTTCCAGGTACAAGCTTTCACTGAAATAGGCACAGGTGCTTTGTCTGAACCAATATCAGTTGACGCAGGCAATGAAGCTCCCTTACCAATCTTATTAATAGCTTCATCAGACTCCATTTTCATTGACGACATGGACACAAATCAAGCACATTCTTTACTGACTGGAATCAATACTCCCAAAGTAATAGCGTGTTTGCTAAGGGAACAGAAAGTCTTCTGGATAAACGAAATTCGAGAATTACTCATGTACGATTTTTCTTCAGGCAACAAAATCAAACTGTTTGACATCAAAGGCAAACCTACTGATTTAGTAATGGATTGGTTAGAAAGAAGCCTGTATTATGTTGAAGAAACAAGCGAAGACTCGGGATCTACCATTTATAAAATCGATTTAAATAAATTTGAGAACGGTATTGTTCAAAATGAGAAGATCTTTTCGACATCAGCTAATATAACGAAAATAGAGATCTCACCGTTTACAAGAAAAATTTATTGGATACAAACCATGGATAATCAGTTGCATAAAGTTATGTTTTCTGATTTGAACGGTTATAATACTGAAGACTTCTTTTCATCGTCAATTCAAGATCAGGCTAAAAGAAACACTACAGCCGAAGACTGTAGTTGCTCAACTAAGACAAACGTTGAATCAACATTTACTATTGACCATTCAGTATTTCAAATAGAACCCGTTCTTATATTCATTGATTCTGATTCCAAAGAGGTGTTCTCGTCAGACAAAAGTGGATGTCAGTGTACTGTAATTCTTAATGGCACAATTCTAAGTGAGTCAGACCCATTGAAGAAAGTTAAATTTGATTTTGACTCACTTTACTGGACTAACTCTGATGATACATTGTACGCATTGAAACCAAAACATTCACACTTGATAAGTAAGCCTTTGAAGTCTAACGATATACTTATTTATGGAGAACATACGCAACCATATCCTCCCCAAGATTGTCTTAGTCCTTTGCAGCATTTAGATATAAAACCCAGTATTAAGAGAATGTCATTTGATTCTCTAACATTAAAAATGCCTGATATTTTGTTTAATTCAAATTGTATGAACACATCTATAGCGACTGTAATGTACAGAATCAGGTATATTAAGACAAATAATAATCCAGGAGGTGACTTTGGGGAAGTTACAACGTTTGATAAAGAGATTGAAGTAACAGATCTGGAACCTTATACAATATACACTGTAAAGGTAGCGGCGAGCAATCACTATTCAGATGAACACAGTATATATTGGAGTAAACCGCTGAGGTTCAGAACTTCACCTGGAGGTAAGTTTTTAAAGCCGTGTTCGTACAGGGTGTTTCAAAAATCATGCCATCTCTCATGGGGAGATATATACTAAAAGTAAGATTTGTTTCTTATATCAACATAGGTCCGATTCTGCTTTGTTTAGTAGTTAGTCTTAAATTATTTTCGATTTATTATCATTTTCTTCCAAGTCCTTTAAGAGATTTCAGTTAAATTTTTAGGGTGCGAAATAAGTGCGATATATTTTAATGTTAAAAAAATGTCGACAGATTCACCAGTGACGTACATATGGGATATCACTTAAACATTGTTATTAAAAACTGGGCGCCACTGACTTATTTCCCTACTTAGCACAGTTGTGTAGGCTATTTCATGCCCAGTAAAAGTTGTCTCTCGATATTTTGTCAATTTTGCTCTTCTTTATGAGATAAATACAATTTTATTAATTTGCCTTGATCCAAGACTAATAACAACCTTTAATTCTTTTTAATGTCATTAACTGGTCATAAGGATGTTAAAACTTTTAAGAAAAATAGGTCTTTAGCTCGGTCTTTTGTAATTATAACCTTATATACTATTATTAGCCGACCATACCAATAGGTATTGTAGGCAGGTAGGCTATTAAGATCGGCAATTTTTTTTTAATTTCACTCAAAATGAGTTATTTGGGTCATAAATGACTTAAATACAAAATATTTTCATGGTGTCTGTCCGTCTGTAACACGATAACTCAAAAACCGCTAAACCGATTTTAACAAAATTTGGCACAAAAATACTGTGGCACCCGAGAATTTGGCCATTAATTTTGGTTGGGGGTGGGGGGTTGGTAAGGGGGTATGGGAGGGTGTTAAACATTTTAAAAAATCGTAACTCCAAAATTACAGTAGCTAGCGAAATGCGGTTTTCAATTTAAGATTAGGAATAATATTTGCAACAAAATTTGTAATAACATCAAAATCAAAGTCGCAGTTTTGAGATAAAAAAAAATTGAAAAATGCCTTTACTTTGAAACTAAAAGAACTACCTAGCAACTTTTTATTAACATATTTTAGTATGGGCGGCTATACGTGCCTCCCGGCGCCATTTTTTTTGCTTCTATCATTATTTGCTATAGGTGGCATTGAACATTAATGTTATATTTAAAAAAAAATAAAATAGATTTAATAAATACCTACCTACTTTATTAATTTTATTTTAAGTGTATTAATCGTGATTAATAAAATTGCGTTTATCTCATTGAGGACATAGAAATCGACAAAATATCAAGATACAACTTTTAGTCGGCATTAAACGGCCTATACAATTTTGTAAACATGAGAAAAACAAAGTCAGTGGCGTATATGTTTTTTTAGAAAAATATTATAATAACTCATATGCACGTCCCTGGTGAATCTGTCCACACTTTTTTAATAAAATATGTAACACGTAT